ATATGCAAAAAAGAAAGAGAAAGAAATGCGAAATGAACTAGGATACGAGGATATGAAGAAGAAATAAAACAACAAAAATCGAAAAAGGATATAAAAAGAACAAGAAAAAAAGGAATTATGATATATAATAAATTTATTCAAAAGAAAGTTTTAAAATGACTGTTACAATACGGAGGAGAGAAAATATATAAAACGAAAGAGAGTGAATTAATAAATGAATAAAAAAGTGAAGAATAAATAAAAATCTAAAAAAATAGAAAAACGAAATAAGAAGAATGAAAAAAATAATGAATTACAATAGATAATAAAATTATTCAAAAGAAAGAGTTTTAAAATATACTTACGATATGGAAGAAAGAAAAATGTGCCAATAGAAAGAAGGAAATAATAGATGAAGTAAAATTTGAAGAAGAAATAAAAAAATGATCAAATGATATTTAAAAAGGAAAAAAGGAAGAACAAAGAAAGACTTAAAATGAATAATAAAAAGACATTTAAAAGAAAGAGTTTGAAATTGACTGTTATAATATGAAGGAAAAATACTGTGTAAAAAGAAAGAAGGAGAAATAAATAAATAAAAAATAGAAGAAGAAATTAAAAAGAAAATCTCGGCGTAATATGATTCTAGGATGTCGTAGAGAAGAAACATGACATTAAAAATATATTCATTGAATAAGAACAAGAACAAGAATAAGGAAAAAGAACACGAATAAGAATAAGGAGAATACGAACAAGAATAAGAATAAGAATAAATGGAAGAAACAGAATATGAATGAAAGAATTAATAAAAGAAAAATAAATCCATTTTATTTTCCCTGTTTTTCTTTCATTTTCTCCTCCAACACGCTTTTATATCCTAAGCTATTCAGATTTGATGGAAAGTCAATCAAACATTTGTTTTCCTGATTTTCTTTCCTTGTTTGTATTGAGCTGCAGCTAATTTTGGTCGTCCCTAGGGAGTTTAAGAAAGCGAGCAACCGGAAGAACCACTGGTTGCTATACATTGCGAGCTTAAGCGGTCGGCCATGTTTGATGGCATCTCGCGAAAGAAATATGGCGTTGTAGGGTAATGAAAAATTTCGTTTTCGTTGGAAAAGCCGAGGAAAGAAGGATAAACGAAGAAATGAAGTGGAAGCAATGTGGGCAAGAGGAAAATAAATATGAAAGAAAGACTAATTGGAGAAAACGTAGGTCCAGCGTGATTCAAGGACAGAGGTGGGGATGTGAATTTAGGTAGGGTAATATAGTACACGGTGTTCTAAGAGATGAAGACTAAATTCGGTAATGAGTAAATATCATAAAACCGACAAAATGAAAGAAAAGGAATCTGAAAGTAAAAACAGAGAATAAGAGGAAAAAGACAGCGAAAACAAAAAAAGAGAGAAAAATTAAAAGATATAAAAATTATGCACAAGAAAGCTAATAAAAAAAAGGTGAAGAGGGTTTAATGCGGAAACTAGGAAAAATTGACAAGAAAAAAGAAAGAAAAAAAGAACGAAAGAAAGAAAAAAAAAAGAAAACAAGAGGAGTTTAAGAAAGAAAGAAAAGAAAGAAAGAAAGAAAGAAAGAAAGAAAGAAAGAAAGAAAAAAAAAGAAAGAAATGAAAGAAAACAAAGAAAGAAAAAAAGAAAGAAAGAAAGAAATAAAGGGGTTTGGAAAAGAAACAAAAAGGAACAAAGAAAAAATACAGGGGTTTGTGAAAACAAGGAAAAGAAAAAGAAAGAAAGAAAGAAAGAAAGAAAGAAAGAAAGAAAGAAAAAAGAAAGAATGAAAGAAAGAAAGAAAAAGAAATAGAGGGGTTTATGAGGAAGCAATGACAAAGAGACAAGAAAGAAAGAAAGAAAGAAAGAAAGAAAGAAAGAAAGAAAGAAAAAGAAATAGAGGAGTTTATGAGGAAACGAGGACAAAGAAGAAAGAAAGAAAGAAAGAAAGAAAGAAAGAAAGAAAGAGAAATAGAGAGGTTTTATGAGGAAATGGGGAAAATAGACAATAAAGAAAAAAGAAAGAAAGAAAAAAGTGGGGTTTATGAGAAAACGAGGACAAATACACAAGAGAAGAAAGAAAGAAAGAAAAAAGAAGGAAAGAAATAGAGGGGTTTATGAGAAAATGGGAACAAATTAACAAGAAAGAAAGAAAGAAAGAAAGAAAGAAAGAAAGAAATGGAGATGTTTATGAGGAAACGAGAACAAAGAGGCAAGCCAAAAAAGAAAGAAGGTTTGGAATTATTAAAATTTCTAAAGAAAAGAGACATTCGAAATTCGAGAATGATGTTTTGAACCTTGAAGGAAAATAAATGAAGAAAATCAGCCAGTTGTAGAAAAAAAGAAATCGGAAGCGAAGAAATGACTTAAAAAACGAAGAAAAGAATGATGAAAAAAATGAGAAGGAAATTTGGACATCGTTGATAAAGAATCATAAAAGAGACAGAGAAACAGTAAAACTTTCTTTATGAAGGAAAAACAAATTAAAACTGAGAAAATTTATGAATGAAAGAAGGAAAGAATGAATTAAATAAACAAATAATGCAATAAAGAAAAATATAATGGAATGAGAAAAATAGCAATCACAGAAGGAAGTCAAAGAGGAAGGAAAGGAAATATTTTAAAGAAAGAAAAAAGAAAGGAAGAAGAAACAGCGATTTAAATAATGTGAAAAAAAGATATGTAACATCGAATCTTCTATATGCCAGTGAATTCTGAACAGTTACCACCCAGATGATGAAAAAAGCTGAAAGAGGTATGTATCTACAATACTCTGAGATGGTGTCGATAAGTAGATATAGTTTGTGTCTACAGACGTGGTTCTATTAAGGCATAAATCGTGTTTGTACATCATAAGTAAGCAAAGTTCTTTTTTTTAATACTCGAGTTGATAGGTAGACATAAACTGTGTTTATACCGCTTTCTATAGAGAAGCACAAATCTGATTTATACTCAGTTTGATAGGTAGACATGAGTCTATAGGGAAACTTACATCGTTTTATACTTTCTCTTTTAATAATTTCACCCCAAGCAAGACGATAATGCCACAAAGACACAAGACGTTACTGGGAGTGAAAGTGAAGGAGAACATTTTAATGATGTGAAAGGACAATAAAAGAAGAATTCACGATGTCAGAAACAAATTAGAAACTTGGTCTTTCTTTCTTTATTTCTTTCTTTCTTCTTTCTTTCTTTCTTTCTTTCTTTTCCTCATTACCCTTTGTATTTCTTCCTATTACGGTCTGTCTTTTTCTTTCATTTTCTTCCAATGCCACCCTTCTTTCTTTCTTTCTTTCTTTCTTTCTTTCTTTCTTTTCCACATTACCCTTTGTATTTCTTCTTCTTAGCTTCTTTCTCTTACTTTCATTTTCTTCTAATGGGACCCTTATTTTTTTTTTGTTTATTTCTTCATTTTTCTATTTTTTTTTTATAATTATTTATTTATTTTCCTCATTACCCTGTGTATTTCTTCCTATTAACTTTTCTTTTTCCTTCATTTCTTCCAATGACGCAATTCTTTCTTTCTTTCTTTCTTTCTTTCTTTCTTTCTTTCTTTCTTTCTTAACCTTTGTATTTCTTCTTATTACGGTCTTTCTGTTTCTTTCATTTTCTTCCAATGACACCCTTCTTTCTTTCTTCTTTCTTTCTTTCTTTCTTTCTTTCTTTCTTTCTTTCTTTCTTCTTTCTTTCTTTCTTCGTAACATAAGATCCATTAGACTTCTGATAAGGTCAGTCAGTCAGTCAGTTATGTGTCATGCGTGATACACGCTTAGTCGATCATGTATCTTTCGATAGATGACTGACGATTCAGATTTTTCCCGTAGTAGGTTGCCATTTCTTTCTGTGGTAAACCATTTGCCATCCAAGGCTATAAAACACGATCTGTCCTGCTATTTACCCATAGCAGCCAAGGGGAGAGAAGAAGAGGTATTAACACGTAAGTGGATGTAATGGATTCTGCTTGAAGTTGAAATTTCTGAAAATAAATAATCTCTGGTATATTTATTTATTAGTATAATTAAATGGTATATTTAGAAATGAACAAGTTGGATTCTCAATTGTTTCAATATAATCACCCCACTTCATAGCGGAAAACGTGTGCTCAAGAAATCATAAAACGTTGCTTCCCTGGAAGTTAGTATTAGCCATGTTGATGGAAGGAAGAAAAGTTTTGCCATGATTATTAAATGAAAGCTATTTTGATTTGGAAGCGCTTAAAATATACAAGTCATTTGTTGCTCCAGTTAACAACTGATTGGAGGTAATTTTCGGGAGAAGCTTGCAGTTTTACATAGTCGGACACATCAGATTTACTTCTAGGCCAGGAAAAAAAAACTTGTGTCATTCACGTAAATACCTAAGCAGGAACTGATCACATCGTGGAGGTCGTTGTTGACTTAATAGGTGAATATAGATCATATTTATAATGAAGTATGTGAAAAGAAATAGGTCGATTTACATTCCAGTCTGTAGGTAAGTATAGGCTGCAGTTTTACCTGAGTCTTCAGGGAGACATACATTGCTTTTTATGCTAAATTATTTATAATAGCTTAAAAATTTCGTGTTTATAATTGCGTCTATCGGGAGACTCATGCTGGGTCTTTTGGGAAAAAACAAAATTTGAGTTTTTCGGTAAAATTAGATTTTGTTTAAATCGAATTCGCAAATATCCAGCTGGAAGGTAGTTTGTTTTTGGAAGGATTTTGTCCCTCTGCAATCGGCGCATTCTAGGCCAGGTTAGCAAACCCCTAAAGCAAAAACTTGTTAAACAAATTGAAGTAGGCAGCGGAAGAGGGTTTTTTTTTTTTTCGTATAGTCTGTAAGTTGCAGTCAAGTGAAAGGTAGGTAACGTGGATCGAAATCACAACAGAGCAGTTTGCGTGATTAGCTCGTTAACCGTTACCCCACAGATAAGTTTGCGTAATCTGGTATTGGGTGACGTGTAGGGTAGCCACTGAGTATCGAACTCAATCCAGCGATAATGATAGACGAGTAAGAGGAATTATATATTTACAGAAATTACCTTATCAGGAGTCCAGCGGGGCTGAAAGTTACGAAAATAGAAAGAAAGAAAGAAAGAAAGAAAGAAAGAAGGAAGGAAAGAAAGAAAGAAGGAAAGAAAGAAAGAAAGAAAGAAAGAAAAGGAAATAAGAAAGACAAAAAAAGACAAAAGAAAGAAAGATATTTACGGAGACAAAGAAAATGAGGATAAATGAATGAAGTACAGCGGAATAAAGTACAGTGTAACCCGGATATAAGAGAGTTGTCGGGACCGGAGAAGTCTCTTATATCCGGGTTTCTCTTATATCAGGGTTTGGTCTATTTTATATACATTAACACAGGCTCTAATTTGGGACCAGATAAAATCTCTCTTATATCCGGGTTTCTCTTATATCCGGGTCTCTTATATCCGGGTTTCTCTTATATCCGGGTTACAATGATAATTGTTTCTTTCGCTCAATGTTTCTTTCTTGCTTGTTTGCTTTATTTCCTTCCTGTTTGCTTTCCTTTCTTTCTTTCTTTCTTTCTTTCTTTCTTTCTTTCTTTCTTTCTTTCTGTTGAGGGGTCCACCCCTTTTTACACAAATGGACTCACCCAATATATACTACAGCTACGTGAACACCCGAGTGACCAAGACCGAAGTGTCGAGTCGATTCCAGAGCGACAGAGTAAAATTTTGTAGGTAACCGGAAGAGTGAGGGGTGAGGTAACAGCGTTGTGGGAGTCACAGTGAGCGAGCACGTAGACTCAGTAAGAAGTCATACAGCGATACTTCAATACCAAAGACTATATATATATATTTTGCTACTAACCCGTATTCCTGGAACTACTAACCTGCTTTACTAGTTTGTATTATTACGTTAATAGATTATTTTCATATATTCATTCCTGGCGTTTGTTATTTATTGGTACCGGATTTCAACCCGGAATCCACAACACTTTTTTTCTTTCTCCATTCTTTCTTTCTTTCTTTCTTTCTTTTCTTTTTTCTTTTCTCTATTACACTTTGTATTTCATTCAAATATTCTCTTTTTTCCCTTTCGTTCTTTTTTCTCCATGACCACCTTTCTTTCTTTTCTCTCTCTCTCTTTCTTTCTTTCTTTCTTTCTTTCTTTATTTATTTATTTATTTTCCTCATTACCCTTTGTATTTCTTCCTATTACCTTCTTGCTTTTGTCTTTCATTTTCTTCCAATGACTTCTTTCTTTCTTTCTTTCTTTCTTTCTTTCTTTCTTTCTTTCTTGCTTTTTCTCAGTTGCCATCTTTCTTTCTTTCTTCTTCCGTTCTTTCTTTCTTCCGTTCTTTCTTTCTTTCTTTCTTTCTTTCTATTTTCGTAACTTCAGCCCTGCTGTACTCATGATAAGGTAATTTCTGAAAATATATAATCTCTCTTACTCGTCTCATAGCTGACCAGAAAAGAATGAATTAATAAAAAAATAAAAAAAAAATATGAAGTAAAGAAAATAAGAATGCAATACTGGCGTAAATGAAGAAAATTAGGAAGAAAAGAAAGAATGAAGGAAATAAGGAACAAAAAAGAAAGCAGTGACAAAGGAGGATAAGACAATTTATATTTTAGCGAAGGGCATAAATAATGACAAAATAGAAAAGAATGAAGAATAAGAAAATTTGTTTTAGCGATGAGCTGAAATATGGACAAAAGAGAGAAGAATGAAGAGAAGAGAAAGAATGAAGAATCCAAAGTAAAACGATAAAGGCATAGTAGAATGGGAAAGAAAGAAAGACGAAGAGAGATGGAAAGAAGTATTTGATGAAAGATAAGAAGTGAAAGAATCTATAAATAAAGACGAGAAAAAGGAAGAAAAGAGAGCGATAGCAAAGAGAATCGGAATGTAAAATTGAATGAAAGAACGAATGAAAGATTGAATGTAAAATAAAAAAAATGAACGAATGAAAGATCGAATTTAAAGATGAATGAAAGAACGAATGAAAGATTGAATGTAAAATTAAATGAGATAACGAGTGAAAGATTGAGTATAAAATTAAAAAAAAAAACAAATGAAAGAATGAAAGATCGAATTTAAAGATGAATGAAAGAACAAATCAGCAAGAAGAAAAATCGTCAAAGCAGCAAAAAAGGCAAAAATTCACCGAAAAAAAAAATGTTTACGAGAACGAAGAAAGGAAGGAAGGAAAGAAACTGAAAAAAAATTATAAAGCTGGAAAATAAAAGAAATGGGTAAAAATGACCAAAACGAGAAAAATTGTCAAAATAAAGAACAGGGAAATCGAAAGACGTATTAGGTTTCGATTTCAGAAGAGTTCTATTTGTGTCAAACCATTTCTTACCACAGGTATTTTTGACTTGATTTATCTCAGTAAATATTATAGGTTTCCTCATTTTTTTTCTTCTTGTTCTGCTGTTCAGTGTTTCTTTCAAGGTTGTCCATTTTTTTTTTTTGCCTCGAGGTCTTTTTCTTTCCTTGCTATTCTTACTTTCTACATGATGCCCAAATATCTCTGTATTTTTTCCCCACTTATTGTGCCTGTTTTTCTCTGTGCCGTTCATTTCGATTTGTTTTTGTGGCAATCTTTCTGTCAATTCTTTTCTTTCAAGGTGGTCCAGTTTCTTTCGACTTTTTATGACTGACAGTATCTTTGTTTGCTTGATAAATTGGTACTTTCTTTTCTCTAGTCTTTTGTATTTTAGTTATTCTTATTCATTGTCATTCCTTATGTCCATTTCTTTCTTTCTTTTCTCTTTTTCTTTCTTTCTTTTCTCTTTTTCTTTCTTTCTTTTTTCTTTCTTTCTATGCAATATTCCTTGTTATCGTTTTGTCCTCTTGATACCTTATTTGTTTCTTTCTTTCTTTCCATGTGATATTGACTTTTCTCGTTTTGTTCTTTTAATGCTTTCATTTTTCATTCTTTCTTTCTTCCTTTTTAGTTTCTTTTTTTTTTTTTTCGAAAATTTCTTTTAATGGTCTTCAATTTTTCATTCTTTCTTCCTTTCTTCCTTTCTTTCTTAATTTCTTTCTTTTTATTTTCGGATCATCGCTTTTTATCTGTCCGCTCATTTTTTAAATTTTCTTTCTTTCTTTTTTTTATTTCTATTCTTTTTCTTATCTGGTCTTCAATATTCTTTCCTTTCTTTCTTTTTCTTCCTTTCTTTCTTTCTTTTTTTATTTTATTTTCGTAAGTTCATCTCTTTTCTCTATCTGTCCGCTCATTTTTTTTCTTTCTTTCTTTTTTCTTTCTTTTTTTTTTTCGGAAAATAATTCCTTTTCTCTATCTGGTCTCTCAATATTTCTTTTATTTTCTTTCTTTCTTCCTTTCTTTTAATTCTTTAAAAGATTTTTTTTTTTAATTTCATTTTTATTTTCTATCGTAATTTATTTTTTTTTTCATCTTCTTTTTTTTCTAATTTCTTTATTTTTTATTTTCGTAAGATCAAATTTTTCTTTCATTCTTTTTTCTTTTCTTTCTTTCTTTCTTTCTTTCTTTCTTTTTTTTCTTTTTTTTATTTTCGGAAAATGTTCCTTTTCTATTCTGGTCTATCAATATTTCTTTCTTTTCTTTCTTTCTTTCTTTTCTTTTCTTTTTTCCTTTCTTCATCTTTTCTTTCATTCATTTTTTTTAATTTTTCTTTTTTTAATATTCGTTCTCTATATTTTCTATTGGTTTCTCTTCTTTTCTTTCTAATTTCTTTTTTTTTTTATTTCTAAGTTCATCTTTTTCTTTCTTCTTTGCCTCATTTTTCTTTCTTTCTTTTTATTTTTCTTTCTTTTCTATCTGGTTTTTTCTTTCTTTTCTTTCTTTCTTCCTTTCTTTCTTTCTTTTCATTTTTTTTTTAATTTCTGAAAATATTCGCTTTTCTCTATCTGGTCTCTCAATATTTCTTTCTTTTCTTTCTTCCTTTTCTTTCTTTCTTTTTTATTTCTTTTTTTCTTTTTCGTAAGATCTCAAAAGTTTTCTTTTTCTGTCTTTTTTTTCATTTTATTTTTTTCTTTTTTTCTTTTTTCTTCAAAGCTTTTCTCTATCTGGTCTCTCAATATTTCTTTCTTTTCTTTCTTTCTTCCTTTCTTTCCTAATTTCTTTCTTTTTTATTTTCGTAAGTTCATCTCTTTTCTCTATCTGTTCGCTCATTTTTCTTTCTTTCTTTCTTTCTTTTTTATTTTCGGAAAATGTTCGCTTTTCTCTATCTGGTCTCTCAATATTTCTTTCTTTTCTTTCTTTCTTCCTTTCTTTCTTAATTTCTTTCTTTTTTATTTTCGTAAGTTCATCTCTTTTCTCTATCTGTTCGCTCATTTTTCTTTCTTTCTTTCTTTCTTTCTTTCTTTCTTTCTTTCTTTAATTCCGTAAGATGGTCCCTTTTATCTATTTGCTTTCTTAAAGTTTCTTTCTTTCTTTCTTTCCATGCGATATTCTCTTCTCTCGTTTTGTTCCTCTAATTCTTACTTTCTTGCATCCTTTCTTGCCTTATGTTGTTAAGATGTTCGCTTTTCTTTAATTAGTCTCTTTATGCTTTCTTTCTTTCTTTCCCGCATTAATATATGTGCCACTGTCTCTGGGCTACAAGGGCTGGTAGAAAACACAGAATTGTTTTAACCACAAGGTTGGGAAATGCCTGTCATTAATGTGTTCCTTTCTTAGTTCGTTTCAACCGAATTTCTACAAAAATGAAATGTCAGAATATATGGTTGTCAACAAAAGAGACAGCTTGACAACGTGAATTACAAATTGGGGATGTCAAACTCAAACAATTACAATTAATATTGAAATGTGTATTTGGATTTAATTACATAAAAGATAATTAGAAAATGAAATCTAATTACGTTTAAATCATTTTCTAATTGCCGAAGTATAGCGCATAAAAACTTGTTCTGTAAATGTCTCGGTAAGAACCTGTTCCGCCCACAATCAACTGAAATCCGATAGTTGGCCATGTGGTTAGAAACGGGCCGAGCAAAGAAAGTTTCATTGCCCCCTCTCTTATTGCAACGTTTATGTAAGAAAGGTGATTGAAAAATATTTTATCTTAAGAAGGAGTCTCTTTAAATATCTCTCTATATTTCTGAGATGAGGCATTGTAATTATTTACATTATTTACGTTGTTCAAACAATTGTCTCCATCTTTATTGTCATGTTCACGATTTTTTTTTCACCCCAAGCAAGGCGGGAATGCACTAGGACGCAAGGGGTTACAGAAGATTTGGAGCAAGAGCAGATAGGAGTGATAGAGGAAAGGATGAGGAGAAGGATAGTGGATAGATCAAGGCAACTGGAGATGTCGATTGACATTACATTTGAATAGTTGGAGATTATAGCTCTATAGGGAAACAGGAATAGGGAAGGGAGTTCCATAGGTGAGAGGTGCGAGACATGAAGCTATTGGAGTAGAAGAGACGACCACATTTAGTAGTTTCGACAGTGAAAGGGTGAGAGCGGGGTGCTAGCCTCGTCGGGCGCTTGAATTCATGAAGTCTGGGAACCAGCAATGCAGCTCCTCGGAGCAATTGCCATGAAATATATTTGTAAAAAAATAGACAGAGATATGGCGCGTCTGTGAAAAGCGACTGTAACACGAGATGCCAGAACAGGGCCAATTATATTGCATATTAGTCTCTGAGGCTTATCAAGAACCTCGAGACAAACAGAAGGGGTTCGGCTGTTGTACGCTGCGGCCTTCTTCAGGTGACTGGAATTTCTAACTGAAACCTTTATTTCATCCACTGGGATAGATTGTTCTAGTTCCACTGGTTCCACGTACCATGTCTCTTCCGGATGTCTCAGTTATTTCCCTTTAAATCAACTCCAACTTTTTGTTCATCGCTGCCGTACCCAGGTTATTGAACTGACAACTCTTTGGATCTAGTCAATGGCTTCAACCAACGCATCAGGACATCAGTGTGTGAATTTTTTGGAATTAATAATTTTATTCTAGTAAGTAAGCGTTACTATGAGATTTAAAATTGATGTTTCTTCAGATTTATGGGAAGAAATTTTCACCCCTTTAATTTTTTAATCATTTCCACCTAAGCAAGGCAATAAAGCCACTTACAGGCAAGGGTTTACAGAGTGTGAAAAATAATAAAAAAGTAGAAAGATTAAGAAGTGAGAACAATTCATCATACTAATTTTATTAATCAGTTCACCCTAAGCAACGCAATAAAGCCACTAAGACGCAGGGGGTGTACAGAATGTGAAAAACCATAAAAAAAAGGAGAAACGTTATTAAGGAGCGAGAACAATTCATTTCACTATTTGTTTTAATCATTTCACCAAGAACAAGGTAATAAAGCCACTAAGACGCAAGGGTTCACTGTGTATGAAAAAATTAAAAAAAAGTAGAAAGATTAAAAAGTAAGCACAATTCATCATATTAATTTTATTAATCAGTTCATCTTAAGCAAGGCGATAAAGCCACTAAGACGCAGGATTTTACAGAATGTGAAAAATCATAAAAAAAGGAGAAACATTATTAAGGAGCGAGAACAATTCATTTCACTATTTGTTTTAATCATTTCACCAAAAGCAAGGCAATAAAGCCACTAAGACACAAGGGTTTACTTAATGTGAAAAATATAAAAAAAATAGAAAGATTAAGAAGCAAGAACAATTCATCATACTAACTTTATTAATCAGTTAACTCTAAGCAAGGCAATAAACCCACTAAGACTCAGGGGTTTACAGACTGTGAAAATAATAAAGAAAAGAGAAACGTTATGAAGGAGTGAGAACAAATCATTTTACTATTTTTTTTTTAATCATTTCACCCCAAGAAAGGCAAATAGGTCACTAATATATGATAATTTCGAAGATAATCTATGACGAGTTTGATTTCGGACTGTTCGGAGCTTGCTTGTTCGACCATACTTCTTCGTGGCAGAGTCGGCTAAAACACGTCGGATCTAACGATGGTTTCTCTCTGCTGAAGGAGATGCAGTTTCGGATCATGAGAAAGTGTATAAAAAACTAAACCACACACATACACACACACACACACACACACACACACATATATATATATATATATATACATATTTGGTTGGATTGATTTGAGTTTGTGACCCTGGGTTTCACGCTTTTGTGATCGTCAGACAAACTGATTAATTTTTAAAAACTTTTGGGCTTATGTAGATTGCGTGTATTAGTGTTATTATGAGAGTGGGGGGAATCGTCGTCGTGATGTCATCGTGCTAACACAAACATAGATGCATGTTCATACACCCGATGAGGTATGCAGACACACATACACACTTGATCGTCCGTCGGGGGCTCATACATATATAAACATATGTGGACAGTATGGGATTTGACATATGTATGTATATGGGTGGTGTTGTGTCTATACATACGCATTTGTATGTTGAAATTCAAAGATTGGAAGTGTAGCGAAAATTTCTCGTGAATGTCTCGTGAATGTATACATGTCAAAAATCAGAGCATTTTTCTATTTTTTCGCCGAATAATATTTCCTCGCATGTATGTATATACGTATGTTAGCTCTATCTCTGATATTGGACGCTTTCTAATAAGTACCGTATATAATATATAAATAATTATATATATATATATATATATTATATTTATTTATTTTTATATACACACACTTTTTACACACACACACACACACACACACACACACACACACATACACATATATATATATATATATATATATATATATATATATATATATATATATATATATAGTCTGTGGATGATATATATATATATATATAGTCTGTGGATATATATATATATATATATATATATATATATATATATATGATGGTGGGAAAATTCTCGTGACCGAGTAAGACCATCACTTAAAAATTCAAACTTTCTTAATTTTCCGCACAACAGTTTGCCGCTTATGACATCGCAAATGGATTTTATGACCCGCAAGAGGCTTGCAGTTCTTCCCACATTGGTAACATGACAATTCTTCTGCTGCATTGCTCTTTTCTGGTTGCTGGCTGTCGAAATGCCGTCTGAGTTGTATTTTTTTATCAACCCTTTGTGACTTTTTTCAAGCCAAAACATTTCGAGTTATAGGAGGTCGTTTTCTGTGAGGAAAAGTGACAGATATTAATATTCTATACGAAAGTTCATCCAGTAAGAGGCTTGAGAGTAACTCAATGTAGAGGAACAGTAATGATGAATAGGATATGTAGTATGAATGAAACAGAGAGTAGGAAGAAATGTTTCCTGGGTGCTGACGATATGAAGTTATGAGCTTTCATTGTCCCACTTGAGATTAACGGACCCAGCGGAGGGAGAGAAATATGCTATTGAAAGAAGAAAGAAATAGATTACCTTCATGTTAGTTTTAGCTCTTCTTTAAATTATATCATTATTTTCAAGTTTATAAAGCGTTAATTTCGTCGAAGAAATAAAGAAAAACAAACACAGTAGAAAAATTAATGGTTTTAAAGGATTTAAATGCGCATCGTAAAGAATAAAAAAAAAGACTTGTTAAAAATTTGCTTGTTTTGGTTTTAGCATCCTTGACTATTGTAGAATTTCAACAACGTACAAAGGAAAAAAACAAACAAAAAAAACAAAAAAAAAACAAATTCTAACCAATAGTATTTTTTATAACAAACCGAACAGCAATTTGTCAGCCCTTCTGTAACTGGCTGTTATTTATTGACCAATAGTCGGCGACTATTGTTTTGAAAATTGTCCATAATAGTTTGTGTTAATTACCGAAAATATTCGGATTTGTTCTTCAGAATTAAATTTATTCAATCTGTATTCCTTCAAATTTGTTTTCCGCCATCCAAAAACCCAAATACGAAATAAAAAAAAAATTATCAGCCGGCGAAAATTAATTAAAAAAACATAAGAAGCATTCATTAAAATTCCAATTAAAGTCTTCGTTACAGAACGCTGTTTGATTTCGTAAATATTGAAAACGGGTATGAACAACTTAATTAAAAAAAAAAAAAAGAATTTCAATGCTGCAACCTGATACCAACTTTTATATATAGGGTGCCGAAGAAATACCTCCCATATATACTGTAAAAAAAAAAAATGGTGATTAGATGGGGGCCGAAAAGTGCAGTGCGGTGCTCGCCGGCAGGCCAGCTATTTTTTCTTCTTCTTCGATCGCCTCATGGAAATGGATTGCGTGTCTCCCATTTTCAGACGTTACACTGGGCATTTGTGAAAGAGACACCAGCTCAGACGCGCCTACTTCGACTTGTCCGTCTGTCAATCCGTACCTCCAAATCTGTTGCACGCTGTCCGCCGAATGACTTCGGTTCTCTCGTGCTGCTGGCACACCGATTTTTATGCTATTCCAATACGGCCAAAATTTGCATGTGTGCAAATATCGTCTCGTTT